TGAAATAATTGTTGTTGTTTTCTATCTCTCTTTTTGGAAATATAGCCAATCTTTATTTTTACAGTATCACATACAGGCTCCAACACATATAGGCTCACTTCCATGTACTGAATTAAAGAATGAGTAAATGGATGGATGGGCAGGAGAAAAACCTACACTGAGTATTTTGTGTCTGTGTCCAGGCTTCTCACGATATAACCAAGGGAAGCCTTTAATTTATGATCCTCCTGCCCCAGCCTATCTATTACTGGTGTTATAGGTTTGTACCACCACTACAGAACACGCTTGGAGGAGAGTACATGGGTGTGTGTATGCCATGTGTGGGAGTGTGGATACACATATGGAGATCAAAGGAAACTCAGCTATTAGCCCTCAACTTCATCCTTGACTGTCTCTGCTATTTGTTGCAGAGCACACCAGACTAGCTAAGTTTCAGCTTTCAGGGGTTCTCCTGTCCTAGCCTCCCCTCTCACCATAAAAGTACTGAAATTACAAATGTGCACTACTGTTCTGCTGATGTGAACCCAGGTCCTCGCGCTTGCATGACTAACCACTTGACTAAACACCAACTCTCCAGACCTAGAAGTGTTTCTTTTTCAAGAAAAAATTAAATGCTGTAAGTAATACAGTACTGATGCTTTAATATTTAGTATTAATATTTTAGTATTCTGTAAAGCATATGTTTCTATTTAAAATAACTTTTCAATGGAAATTTATGATATATTTACCTGTAGAAATCTGGCTATAAACTATACTAGCATTTATTAATTTGCACCTACATACTTAATCTCATAAAAGATAATGAGTGTTTTATTTCATTAATTTAATGGAATACCAAAATTAACTATGGCTAACTGTAAAGACAGTTCTGTCAAAAACATGGGCTGTCAATACACCAAACACCAACTAGGCAAGTGCAAGGTAAAGTATCAGTTCCTTAGCAGCAGCTGCTGCATTTCAAGTTCTCAACAGCTATACCTGGGGAGAAGCCCCTTTCCTGAGCAGTGGAAGCGGAGACCACATCTATCATCATAGGAGCTGGGCTACATGGAACTATTTGAAGCCATAGTAAGGTACAAAATTTTAAAAATTAATAATCGCAATATAAGTTCAAATGACTTTTTGGCTTGCTACCTAGTGGAAAGATAAGGCACACATTTAGAAATGAGGAACAAACATACAGCAATGAAGGTTCCAAGTGTATAAAGTTAATTACATATGGCTAACTCAGCATTTGACCTCATTGAAAATAAAATACCTGCAAGGTAATTTAGCCCTTCATCCCATTTTACAGATGATGACAAAAATGTACCAGAGAATGGTACAAGAAAGATAATCTTTCTTATTTTAGATGGTTGGCAGATCCACATAAAGTCATTATTGAAAACAACCACAATGTGTAATAATTTGAAAAGCTGAAACAAAGTGTGAGCAATTCTGTGTGTCTTGAATTTGACTTTCTAGTAGATACATTGCTCAGCATAACCCCTTGGAATCAGAGATTCTGGGATTAGCTTGGCTGAACTGAAATGCCATTCCTTGGTTAACTACTATGTAACCTTAAACAAGTTATATCCATTTTTGAAAATGGAGCAGTACTGGAACCACTCTATAGGGTTTGAAAAAATATGTATGACAGTGCATGCAAAACACCCAGAGAAGTAGGCACACACTAGTTCTCAAAAATGTTGAGATGTATGCAGTTTTTGAACCTGATCTAATGGCTATTATCAATTTTTTTTGACTCTCAAGGTCTTTGTTTTCCCTTTCTCTGCCTTTTAGGTCAAGGTCTCACAATGCCACTGCCACTACTGCTGACCTGAACTTGCTATGCAGAGTAGGCTGGCCTTGAACTGAGAGATCAGCCTTCCTCTGTCTCTCTAGTGCTTGGATTAAAAGTATATACCACCACATCCAGTCTAAGCTTCAAGGTCATTCCAAAAACCACTGTCTAAATAAGGGGCTATAGGGTGTGGCTTTCCCACTTCTAATCATGGGACAGTTAACACCGGACAATTTCCACCCATAGACCTGGCCATGCTTACCATGCATGTGCAATGCATGGCTCCACAGGCAGCCTGTAGAAGTAATATATTTTTAAAAGAACAAAAACATCTTCCAGATTAAAAGAAAAGCATACATCTTTGTATTAGTAAGGCTGTGTGAGTAACATATTTAATTCAGAGTAAAATATTCTTGAATTACAAGGACTGAAAACATTTCTGAGACTTGTAGCCTCCTGATTCTAAAAGTTTATGATTCTGTGTATTAACTGCTATTTAAATAAATACACTTACATTTTGGAAGGCATTTATTTCAAGAGTAATTTTTAAAACACTCAGAAGTATATAACGGCAAAAGTTGTTCTTTGAAACACCCTAGTTCTCTAAGGAACTTAATCTCTAGACACTGTGGAGATTAGAATGAGTCCTTTATTTTTGTGAGTATAGGGGCAAAGCCCTGGATAGTCAAAGCTAAAAAACAAAAAACAAAAACAAAAAAACCAACAACAACCCTTCCCCCCCCCAAAAAAAAAAACAAACCCCCAAACAAAACAAAACAAAAACCCCAAAACCCTTCTCATTTATCTTTCTGCCCAACTTCATTCTTTGGAGTATTTTTAGAATTAAGCTCTAGAACTACCTGTCTGTGGGAGGCTTATTCCTCATCAAACTGCAGATCTTACCTTCATATCTTTAATTAGCTCTTCAAATCAAACACTTCCCTACTGGTAATTTTCAGTGTTCTAATTTTACTTCAGAATGTTCGCACTTAAATTTTACTTAAATTTTTCATCTGACAGTAGGTAGTAAAACCGTAATATTTTGTCCAGAGGGGCTACAACTAAACCCAAAGCTCTCGGGAACTACTCTGAAAGAGGATGGATGAATTCTTTAGCGATCAGATGCAGTCAGAGCATCAGAGCTGTTCTTTATTTGTCATTAACCACAGGATCTCAGCCCCAGCTTCTTCTGAGGTCTGGCACTTGGGTCTTGAGATGAGGTGATTGCATAGACTGAACTCTTAAGATCACATTTTTCTAAAAGTTTATTCTGTGTATCAAGAGAAATTTAAATAATTACATTTAGGATTTTGAACCACAAAATTTCAAGAGTAACTCATTTGGAAAATATACAGAACATAGGAACGTAATGGCAATGCATGTTCTGTCATTTAAGTTTTAAAACATAACACAGCTTCTTTGCTACAAAACATCAACACACATCAGCTAACACTGCTTCAAATGAAGCCACAAAGCTTATACACAAATGTCTCATATAATTTTCCCATGAGACATCTGTTATCTTCTTTTGACATTTCAAACCCTTTTCAAACTATAATGATCTTCAGTTTCTATAAATAAACTCACACAAGACTTTGTCATACTACCAGTTTAAATTAAATTCACACTGTCCAGAGGAAAACTGGCTAGAATTTTAATAGCAGAAATATATATATATATATATATATATATATATATATATATATATATATATTACCAGAGAGTGGAGTATCATTAAAAATATACGAACTGTACAAGATAGCACTAGCTAGGAAAATCGCTGGCCTGATCCAACTATAAACACATTTTCGTAACACGATTAGCACACATTGTACAAGAGAAGTAGGGAAATAGCAATGTCAAGTGGGTATAAAATTTTATCATACTTCATTTTCTGTGAATCTGTACAATTAATCAACACATTTGCACAGTTAATAAAAGATAATATGGAAGTCCTACTTTGACACTGGCTTTTCAAAGTCTCCGTGTCACATGCTCACCAACAGTTTGGGTGGCTTTTCACATAACTTTCCTAGAATGAACCTTATTGACGAAATATAAACTACGAAATCTGAGTTTCTTGCTTACATTTCCCAAAACAAATGGCTAGACTCTCTTCAGTCAATTCAATTCTGCTTTATTCATACAGATCAAAAGTTGTTTGCTTCAAGTTAATTACAGGGTTAGTTAGCTTCAATCTTCTGTTTTAAACACAATGGAAGATATTATTTACAGAAACACGAACAAATTGTCAGGCTCACTTCAAGGGCTGAGATGTCATTTACCCATGGCAATATAACAAATAGCAAGTGGCATTCTTTGATTATTCTGAATTTTAAAATATATTATGAACCCTGTAATGGCACACAAGTTTTCTTTCACAACATGTTACACTACACATGTATATGTGTGTGCTTAGAAACAGTACCATGTTGCTACACAGAAATTCAATTTCCACGACCCTTTTGTCTTGAGATTTGGTTTAAAGTACTGATTGTCCGCACTTTCATCTCTCAGAAGCAATCAACTATAGTGTCTGAAAGCACTTCAACTCCAAAAGACCTTTAAGTTTTTCAGGCACATTCCTGGATGTCTAGATTACAAGCAAAGCTGTCTCGTTTTTCTAACTCCCTCGAATGAATAAAGTTGCTGCTTGTATTTATGTTTACCATCTCTAATCTACGGGACGAAAGAAAGGTCCTTAGACATTGAGGGTTAACGTCACCTTTGGTGACCCACACCGGCCCTCACCTTGTGGTAAGATTGGTATGAATACAGGAGATGGAGGAAACAGAGCCAACTCAACCAACCCCAAAGCGCTACCTGTAGCTCCCTAAAAGAGGGTGTTGGGGCTCTGGGAGAAGGGAGAAGAGCCATGGGTGCGATCACAAAAGGGACTTCTTTTCAAGGACCATATTTGGGGAAGAGTTCCAGACCGAGGCAGTCTTCCTTGCTCTAGTAAGAAAGGGGATCACAAGGACCGCTCTGCCCGCCCTCCTTCTCTCCAATGAGCCCCGGCACTTGGCCCTCACCCTCGAACCTTAGTGGGGGAGGGGTCAGAGAAGAGGGCGGCCGGTCCCCGGGGCTCCTGGAACTGCTAGCGGCGGCCACTAGAGAGGCCTGGCCCGTGCCTCGCGGCCTTGGGGGACTCCGGCCCGGGGAGCTGCACCGCGGCCCATCCAGCGGGAACCCAGCCCGGGCCTTCGGCTCGACTCACCGCTCTCCACCTCGCTGCCTTTCTTGGCGATCGCAGTGTTCCCCATGACCCGGGACTTGGCAAGCAGGGGTGACGGAGGGGAGGGACCGGGGCCGTCCCGCCGCCCCGTGGTCCGCAGCAACTCCCGCTTTTGCTCGGCTCCCACAGACCCTGGAGCGCGGCGTCGTGGGGCGCGGGGTGGCCGGGTGTCGGGGAGAGACGCGGCGAGCTCCCCGGCAGCAACCGGGACTGTGGCGGTGGCGGCGGCGCGCAGACACTCCCCCTTCCCGAGCCCGCCCTCCAGGCGCGCCCCCGGCACCGCGCGTTCCCGCTAGCCGCGCACCCAGAGCGCGACCTCCGCCTCTTCCCCCGGCGGGCGCGCCGGAAGTGACGTAAGCAAGCCCCCCGGGCGGGCAGGAGCCCCTCTGAGCAGGACTAAAGCGGTGGCTGATCGCTCTCCGCCGTGGATGCTCAGCTGGGGCCAATGCCGCGGTAGCGCGGGACATGGGAACCGTTAGCTTGGAAGAACCCGAATCCTTCCCTGGTGTGGCATCCGGTGCTGGAGAGCCGGGCCGGGGGCTCAGTGCCGAGGCTCGGCCTGCTCCTGCATCCGCGTGGCGCGCGTTCCGGACGCAGAGCCTGCGCTCACACGGGGGAGAGGATCCTCCTGTGAGGCTGTCGGAACCAGCGTGCGCCCCTCTGCGTCCTGAGGACCCTGCTGATCCTCATGTCAGCATGGGCCAGGAATGCTTGCTCTTTGCTCCCAGATGCAACTGGAGCCTCTTCCCCTCGCTCTTACAGTTATTCTTCCATCACCTACTTTTTGACAGGCTATTCCTTCGAAAGTTCGTTCTCCGTGGCCCCACCTGATCACCATCACAAATTCTGTCAGATTTCCTGGGAAAATATTACTGTTTTTACACAAGTACTGTTATGTTCATCCTCTCAGTTACCAGCGTTATGTGTAGATTTTAAAATAAACACATTCCTAATTGTTTGCTTCGCCTTTATGCATCTTAGAGTACTTGAGTTTTCTGTGAGATTATTAGGTGTTTAATTACCTAGACGCCTACTAGTTTTTGTTCTTTTGAGCTTTGCTATGTAAGCAGACATTCCAGAATTAGAACAAAAAGTAACATCTGGAGGGGAAGAGACCATGTAAATTTATGTTGTGTCTTCGAAGCACAAAGCACAGTTGGTATTAAAGGGGGGGGGGGGGTTGACTTGAAAGTAAACTGGGGAGATATCTCCGAAAGCTTTTGAAGCTTTGTTACCGAAAAAAGACAGCAGTGACAGCAAATGATTCTAAACAAATTCATGCTTCTATATTTTATTCCCAATTATGTTAAATTACCAAGCATGTACACCAGGTAGGTATATTGCGTTCTAGGTGTTACACAGATAGTGACCAGTTTCCTCATAAGCTTCTTACGAAAATGTAGCATTACTATCATTGTTTTACTTAAGATTCAGCTGAGTCATGGAGACATTAAAGGACCTTTCCAAGGTTGCCCAGCTATTACCTCACTAGAAGGACTTGAAGAAGTAAAGGCATACCATCTCAAAAATGCCAGAGAGATACATTGATTATTTCAATTTAAAATGAATTGAAGAATTATAACTTCAGAGTAGACCATTGATGCCCTTTCATTACAGCAAGACATGTTGTTTGGAGAAGGCGTCTTTTACATACCAAAACCAAGAAATAATCTTAATCACCAGATACTACTAATTGGGGCTACAAGAACTGGAACAAACGCTGACATAACTCTCAAACATGAACCCGACATATTATTTTTAAGGGCATGCCTGGAACTTACTGCACTGTTGTCCACATTTATATTTGTCCAATTAGTTTTTCAAAGTATTTTACTTGTCTGAAGAAATATGAAAGTACTGTCAGTCACATGTTCAGGCTTCCTGTGAAGATCTTCCCGTGCTTGGAAGTTAATAGTTTACCTGTTTCTCTTGTTAATAAACTCTGGATTTCGGTTCCTAAATTCAGCCGAAGGACCCACACATAAACTGAGGTGGGAAGATGTGGTACTTTGTATACGTATGGTCTCCATAGACTTAATGGGGTTTGAATGCTTGGCCTTTGTGGGGGTGGTACTATTAGAAGGTGTGATATCGTTGGAGAAAGTGTGTTACTGTGGCGATGTGCTTTGAGGTCTCCTATGCTACAATCAGTGACAGTCTCCTCTCTGCTGCCTGTGGATCGAGATGTAAGAACTCTCAGCTCTAGCACCATGCCTGCCGTGCTTCCCATCACAATGATAATGGACTAAATCTCTGGACTGTAAGCCAGCCCCAATTAAATGTTTTCCTTTATAAGAGGTGCCTTGGGTGACCCTGCCAGACATGTGCAAGGTCAGTCAGAGATCTGTGGGGCTGGGCAGCCTGAGCCTGCTCATCCTCAGAGTCTATGCAGCACCCTAAAAGTACTCAACTCACACAAATCACATGAAGGTCCATGAGCTTTCACTCTACTCAGTTCCTGAGACTCAATCTAAATATGTGCAGGAGCCAGACTCAATGTGAAGAAAACATCTCAAACTCCGACTTCATTATGAGTCATGTACAAGTTGGTGTCAGGAAATATCTCCCAAAGTAAACCCAAGGTAGAATGTTTTTCCACTGGGGATTAGATGACTCTGAATATCTTCAAAATATGCCTCCTGGGTTTTCCCCAAGACTCAATGTTGGTTTTGCTGGTTTTGTTGGACTTCTTTTTGCTAGAGGTTAAAAAACAAACAAACAAACAAAAAAACCAGTTGGAGTATCCTCCTTTTCTCATGGGATTAGGTGCCTCTGTCACCCACAACAAGGCATCCCCTTTGTCCACATCAGTGAAGAGAAACTATATGACTGGGGATAACGATGGTACATAGTTGTAGATTTGTGGAAAGAAATTTTTCAGAAGCCTGGGAAAGTAAAGAAGTCACCTGGAAATAAACATAAAACTTCATGCTCTCTCCATTTTAATCAGGAATAGATAAACATTGGAAATTCCAGATGGTAAGTCAACATTTCTAAAGACAAATGGCAGAATCAGTATTGGATATAGTAAACTGGCTTTCTTCAGGAAAAACAGCACTAAGCATTTTTGCTCTCTTGGGTGCCCATATTACTGGCCAACTAATCTACAATCCTTCACATGGAAATAATGTATAAGCCTTAGAACTCCTCATTCTTATATTACTATTTAGTACACAATTAACATCCAGATTAAAAAAAAAAGTTGTCTTGGTCATGGTGTCTCTTTACAGCAATAAAACTCAAATTAGGACAGACAGAAATGTTCTGTCCCTCTGATACACAGCTGGGTCCAAAGTGTGACTCTTGTTCATACTGTAAGTCAGAAATCTATGAATGTTGTGGTGAATTACATTCCTTTCATATGAAATCCCACTAACTTGAAAAGATAGATGGACAACTGGTTTATACCCTGAAGACATTGAATATGTTTCCTGAGTTTCCATTAAATACAATAAAATGAGGAAGCAAGTGGACCAGACATGTTGTCCCTTACCTTTAATCCCAGACTGTTAGCAGAGACAGATGGATCTCTGTGAGTGAGATCAGCTTGTTCTACATTTCTAATTCTAGGACAGCCAGGGTTGCACAGACCCTGTCTCAGAGAGAGACAGAGAAAACAACAAGTGCATTATAGTATGTGAGGTTTCTGGGGGCATGCAGTGATCTCACACCATTTTCCAGTTACAGTTAGCTTTGGAATGTGATATTTCCTTTGTATACTTTAAAAGTCCAGTAACAAACCATATACATATCAAATTTTATGTACTTTGTTCTATGAAGGCCTTCCTAGACTCCCAGAATACTCCTGCTGCCCCAATAATGTTGGGTTTTAATATGTACACATGTCTGAAGACTAGCCTAACTGATAAAATTGTACCTGATTTTTCTCTGCCCTTAACATGACTTTTAATCATGAGTCTCTAAAAAGAGAGAAGCAATCTATTTATCATTCATTTGGAAGGGAAGACACTGACACCTCTTAGAAAGGTAGGATCTTAAAAGATGGCTCATCAGCAAATATCTTACTTGGTGAGCTTGAGGACCGGGATTCTATTTCTACAGCCTGCTTAAAAGTCGGGAGGAGAGGCTAACTACCGGGGAAAGCAGTAGAGGTGGAATCCTTAGAGAAACTCACTAACCAGGCTAGGTTAGGCAGAGGGGAGATACTAAGAGCTCCCAGCTCAGCAAGACAGGCTGCCTCGTAAAAGGTGGGGAGTGATGGCGGAAGACTCCTAACATCAGTGTGCAACCTGTACGAGGCACATGTGCACATAGCCCCACACACAGGTGTGGCCACAGTCGTATGAGCATGCATACACACATATATAAAAGGAAGCTATGCCCACTCTAACTACATCCTGACAATAAGTAAATGAAAAAAAGTCATCTCCCTTTTCTTTGTCCATTTTGACAGGAAAGTAAATTATTTCTCACAATACGTGATCAGCAATTTTAAATTTCTTGTCATTTTTCTTTATAATATTATGGTTTTGTTTACACTGCTCATGTAGTAATTATGATTTACTAAATAGATGGCTGCCATATTATTATAGACCCATGGTTGAAAATATGTAAAGAAAGCATCACATTCTGCATAGCTACTTTTGTCACTCTGGCTAGACATATGTACAGGCTTTACAGGGACAATAGGAGTATTCTAGGTAATTTTGCTTTACAAATGCAGTATGAGTACTGGTTAGTTAGTGTTAATGATCACATGTAAGTGCATACATGTTGTGTTTGATTATTAGAAAAGCATTCTCAATAGAAATCCATTATTCATGAACTATCTAAAAGACTATGTCAGTCCAAATATATCTGGGCACAGGGTCTTTTCTGAGATTGACATTCAACCAAGGACCATGTATGGATATAATCTAGAACCTCTGCTCAGATGTAGCCTGTGGTAGCTCAGTAACCAATTGGTTTCCCATAGTGAGGGGAACAAGGACTATTTCTAACAGGAACTCAATGACTGGCTCTTTGACCTGCCCACCCCCCAAGGGAGGAGCAGTCCTGTTAGGCCACAGAGGAGGGCTTTGCAGCCAGTCCTGAAGATACCTGATAAAACAGGATCAGATGAATGGGGAGGAGGTCTCCCCCCCATCAATGGACTTGGAAAGGGGCACGGTGGAGATGAGGGAGGGTGGGATTGGGAGGGAATGAGGGAGCGGGATACAGCTGGGATACAGAGTTAATAAAACGTAACTGATAAAAAAATAAAATTAAAAAAAAGACTATGTCAGAATTCGAACTTTTTCTGAAT